AGAAGAAGAAGAAGAAGAAGAAGAAGAAGAAGAAGAAGAAGAAGAAGAAGAAGAAGAAGAAAAGCAACAAAGGAGGGACAAGAAGCTATCAGCAAAAAGGAGATGGTGCGAGAGCACCACCACCACGCCCCTTTTGAATATTTCCTTCCTGGACCTGACCAAGCCCCTTCGTCGACCTTCTCTCCACCATATAGGAATACATTATGCACGGTCCCAGTGCATAATTCTCGCGCCACAAAATTTCTCGCCGACGAGGCGCCTTGAAAATTTCCTCTCCTCTCTTCGAAGAGAAGGAAAAGAAAAGAAAAGAAAGCGATCGAACACGATTCCTCCTCCTCTTTCTCTCTCTCCTTCCTTCTCTTTCTCAAAATTTCTCCGAGGTGTCGTTAAACGTGCGACCGAGCACGAATTCCCAGAGCATGCGACGCGCGTGCATCTCAACGCATCGTAAACTAGTGAAATAGATAGCGGACCGAGAGATCGAGAGACAGGGTGGAGGTGGATAAGGGTTGAAAAGCGAGAAAACGCGGTTAAGGGGGGCCCTCGAGGGCGCATAAGACGAGGGGCCGAGACGAGGAAAGTGAAACTTGAAATTACACGCGACAGTGGAAGAAAGAGGGGGAGGGGAGGGAGAAGATACGGTGTAACGGATGGAAAATGGATAGCTCGTGGTGGTAGTGGAAAACGCGTTGCTCTCCATCCACCCATTCTTTCGTCTGTTCGGGAGAGGGGGTCGAGGAACGCGGATCCCTCTGTTCTCTTTCCGCATCCAATTTCCATTACCATACGTTACACCGAGGCGATGCGTTTTCTGGGAAACGTTTCGTCGCCCGATGAACGAGTACGCGGGATACACGGTGTTTACGCGTAGGTGGATGGCTAGAGATAATCGAGCCACAGTTAATCCAAAAAAAAAAGTAAGCTGGTTAAAAATTTCGAAAAATTACTTTTTAAATAATTATTGCTCGAATAACATTTATTTGACCGTTGGCGAATACGATTATTTTCGTATTTAGTATTGCGCGCCTTCAACTTTGATAAATTATCGAAGCAACTGATTATTTTTTAAATTTTCCCCCATCATCGTTGATTTGAAATCGAGCTGTGTTATAAACGCGTGGCAAAATATTGCATCGAAGACCAGAACCACCAGAAGTGGTTTTTCTTTTTATTTCTCTCTTACCCTCGATTCCAGGGTAGTAAGCGTTTCTCCAGAGGAAACACTTTCAACTTTGGACCAAATTCTTCAACCCGTATTTTATTCGGAGACAAAAGGTCGGCATCCAGGTAAAACAACTGGCGCGTCCCCCTGGTGCGACGCGAAGTGAAAATATTTAAGTCTCGTATTTCCACCTTACGTAACGCAAATTTTCTTAACGTTTTAAATAACGCGCGAGATAAACCCGGCTGCACGGCGAATTCATTTAACGTGGCGGGTATAATTGCAGCGCGCAGACAGTGGTGTCTCGGAATAACGATTTCTGGGGACTCGAGAGACTCGTAACGTTTTGGATGTGAAAAGAACGACTCACATTTAACGACGATCGATCGGTGATCTTCTCAAACGTATCATTTTCCGTCGAAATTGCCAAATTAGGAGGAGAGGAGAGGGGGAATCGATTAATTTATTTTCGAGGTTGGGCGGAAAAAGTGTGGAATAATTTTTCCACCGGCCAAATTCTTGCAACGTTACAATGGATCTTGGGGGACAAAAGCATTCGAATCACCGCGCGTAATTGCGGCAGGCGTTGGCACCGGGAGCCTCTTCTAATCCACGCGACAGTGTGTCCCCGTTGGAACACATAATTCTCGCCCTCTTTGTGAGAACGAGTCGTAACGTTTTGTGTCACGCGACACGGCTTATCTTCCTTCCTTTTTCTTATCCCCT